CCTTTTAAAAAGCAAATAATAAAACTTTGAATTCTAAATATAATTTTTATATCAAGAAGGTTTTTCACTGAAGAGAAGAAAAGCGGTTATTGTTGGCAGATTCACGTTAGCAACACATTGTTTAAAACTTTACAATAATGAATAATAATACTACAAACACAAACCCATTTTGGTTTTCCATTAAAAAACTGTCCGATGCACTCTCTCAGTTCTTTACTTTTTTCAGGCTTTTCTTGATTCATCTCTGCATAAAATAAAAATATGTTTGATTTACCTGAAGAGGATATTTCTCTCATGTTACGAACCAGTTTTTGTAAAAATAATACTTTATTAATTAGAAGAAAAAGTTACCGTATGTTCCTAGTATATTTAGTTGTGTATAAAAGTGAATAACTTCAGTCAAATCATTCCAGACGTTGATGTATAACCCAGATGAAAAATGTCTGTTGAAATGTTAAAAAAATTGACTGTCGACTTCTTAGAGCCATTGAAAATTCCATCGGCACTATTGACACAATTTCAATGTTAATCTGAAGTACAGTAAAATAGTTGTATAATAATATTTTCCTATATTCTCCTAATGCCTTGTTTTTCTAGTGATCAAGTACAGATATAAAACGAGAACATTATTATCAATAATACTATTACTTAATAATATATATATATTGATTAAAGTTTGAAAATGAACTTACTACACATTTTTTGCCAACCTATATCGACAATGTTGCCTGTCGTCATCGTCAGGCTTACGAGCAGAACAAGAACTACAAATGAAACTTCCATGTTGAAAATGTTGCTGTTTTCATGAATATTTCAGCTTAGAAGACCATTTTTATATCATTCGCCAAACATTTTTCAGGCAATAATTTACATTATTTTCTGAAATATCCGAAAATTAATAGCTTTGCTAATATATCTACCAATCATTGCGTGACTCTTTTCGGATTGGACAAACCGTGTATGTTAACAACCAATAACAGAGTGATCATACTAAACACAGAAGCCCTCCCTTCATATGATAAGATCACGTGACTCACTTCTGTTCGTCTTCAGTTTGATTCCTCCTGGAAACTTCACTCTGTTACAGCACGTTATACATATTACAGATTGGGAGAGTTGTTTGTGGATACATCCACAAGAAGGAAATATAATACAGTTTAATACTGCGTATATCCCAAGTTCACTGAATTAAAACAACTATGCGTAATTGCTAAGGCGTTTACTACAATATTCACGTGTTTTAGTTGTAATATTACTTCTGTATCCACTTGTTTTCATTAGTTTTCATACATAAATAACTTGTACGGTAATATTAATTTATATCAGGCCCGTACGTAGAATGTTTAAAAGGGGGGGTTCTAATTAGTGAGATCAAAAACCAACACATATTGTGCGAAGCACAATCAGTATGTTAATTCTATAATGGTCTTGGTGCATGCTCCCCCCCCCCTACCTCCCCACATACAGAGAATTTGTAAAAAAAAAAAAATGTGCTATGAGATTAAATCTGGAATCAATTTTTCATGAAATATAGCTTAAACAACTGCATGGCTGTTCAATAAATCATCATTCTGTTGTAACACTACATGGGGAGCTAGACTTAAATTAACATAAATATTTATATTTTATTATAGTTAAGTACTGTACTATCTACTTACAGAGTAGTTATTAATTGTTAAATTATGTTACTAATTTAAAAAACTCTGTACAACAATAACTTGTTAACTATTTCAATCATTGGCTACCATATATATGTATGCACTACTGAAGTAACACGTGAGCATGCTCCATTCTACTGTGATGTGAGTTTCCATATATTAGATATAAAGCGGTCAGTCTTTCTTTGGCTTGTGTATACCTCAGGTAATTATTCAACCGGCAGAGAGAAGATTCCAAAGGTTCACGTGAACATGAACTTAGCAGTGTGGCAAAGAGTTTCAGTAACATAAATATATTTCGTACACTAAGATATCCATTTAAGCAGTCAGCTAGTATCTCTGACCTGTCCTGGACAGGTATAAAAAGCCATCTGGTCTTTCATCGATGAAGGTCTTCATCAAAAATATCAGGATTTAGCACATCTTCCCTGTAAAAAACTATAGCCTGTCTGATATCACAGATAGAAAACTAACATATGAGTTTTGATGGCATAAGTTTCTGAATTGATGCTATTTGCTTTACCTATGCATCAAATCTGGAGGAAAGATTACTGATGGTCAAGAAAAGGAATGGTTACTGTTTTCTTAAAGTAATCCTCCACGGAACTATATTCTGCATTTGCATCTTGGGCTTGTCGTTAACTAACTTGTGGCATGTTAACATTAATATTAGATTTGTTTGCAATATTACTGCTGTACTTGAATATACGATTTGAATAAGCATCTACGTTCACTCTTAGTGAAGTCAGTTCTTTACAGCATTGTTCTATTAGGGGAACACCAGAAACAATGTATTGGCTTAGACCTTGCAAATTTACAGACGATTATTTCAAATAGTAAAGGGTTTATGTGTATTATTTATAGCAAAGCCACATCGGCTATCTACTGTGTCCACCGAGAGGAATTGAACCCCTGATTTTAGCATTGTAAATACGAAACTTACCGCTGTCCCATCGGGGGACAATAGTAAAGGGGAGGTTGTAAAATGAATTCAAAGGATTCTAGTATCTTAAGATAAGGCATAGCATTTATATCTTCAGCAGTCCAATTGCCATTAAACATTTCAAAAATACCATTTCCATACAAAATAACCGCACACCTGTGAAGAAAGAAAGGTTGACATAAATAACAAACATCAAAAAAATAGGAGATTCGAACGAACCCTTTCCTGTGTACATGCGTGTATGTATATCATATTAGTCTTTAAACTTACCATTCAATACCAAAATGTATCGTAAGTGACCACGTCCTTAGTGAGTTGGGCCAGTTGTTGCCTAGTAGTTAGCGTGCCAAGCAGCAGATCGATAGGTCAAAGGTTAGAGTTTTTTCAGCTGCGGGAGTATTATAAAAGTGACAGTCAATCTTCCCACTCGGTTTAAACAGAAGAACAAAACATTGTGTTGCTGCTGACTGGCTGCTCTCCCTCTGGTTAGTAATTCAAAATTAGTGTTAGCTGTGCTTGAACCTTATGTTTGTTTATTTGCAATTAAGCACAAAGCTACACAATGGGCTATCTGTGCTCTGCCCACCACGGGTATCGAAACCCGTATTCTAGCGTTGTAAGTCCGCAGACATACCGCTGTGCCACTGAGGGGCTGAACCTTATGAGTCTCGAACGACTCATGAACAATTGTTAATGTTGTGGATTTTGTTTTTGGTCCAAGGGTTTTGTTTAAAACTAGCCTTTAGGTCAACTTGAGGGTAGTATTGGTTGTATAGGACCCCTGATAATTCTAAAAGACTAAAGTCGGATGTTGAATTACTTCCTCTAATTTGGACTTTCCTGCTAAGAGTGGTGTATTCATTATCTTGTCTCGAGCGTAAAGTTCCCTGGATTAGACAGAAACTCTTGCCGTTAACGAGAAGTGTTGGAGAAGACGAGAGTTTATCTGAACTTCTATTCCTGTAAAGCAGCCGAAAGAAAACCGAGTTGCCTCTTCTGCCGTCGTTGGCTCCACAGTTTTTAGGATCTACAGTATGAATGATTATCGGTTCAACTGTAAAGGACTTGACAATCCTTACTTTTATAACTATAGAATGGAATTCTATAGTGTAAGTAATTTTTCTGATATTTCGTGAGCTTCGTTAGTGTGAGGTTTTTTGTTCGTTTGTTTTTTATCGCAAAGTTGCACAATAGGATATTTGCACTCTGCCCACCGCGGGAAATCGAATCTCAAATTTTAGCTTTATTTCTTGGTGAACTTATCGCCGGCCAACCGAGGTACTACTTCGTGAGAATCATGTGAGGCACGGGCACAGGTGGTGGTGGTGGTACACCATGAAGAAGACGCTAGTATCCGATATTAAACTAGATCTACCTGTACATTATACAGTAAGTGAAACGACTGGAAACACATGCTTGTACAAATGTTTGATTGTAAATGTGATGAGATGTGAAGAAATAAAGAACAGGAGAAACATTGACAAAAACGAATATTTACAAAAGTAAAAAGAATTAGAAAAAGTAATAGAAGAAGCATTAGATAACAATGTTCGTATATTCTATGACTAGATCATTCACTGGTTATTATCTTGTTCGTTTGTTTGAAGTTATGCACACAGCTACACGATGGGCTATCTGTGCTCTGCCCTCCACGGGTATCGAAACCCGGTTTTTAGCGTTGTAAGTCCGCAGACATACCGCTGTGCCACTGGGGGACGATTATGATCTTCACGAGAGGGAAGAACAGAAAGATAGCAAGTATTTGTTGTCATTATTCTATTGAATATTTCTCGTGTGTTGAATTTTTCACACTAAATTGTGTTGATAGTGTTGTATGTGTATGCCTATAGTAAACGGTCAGTGTTAGTAGCCCAAAAGGTAAAGGTGTCATTGCAACACTTCTTCAAACCAAAATTCATATGTATATGTTGAATATATATATACACATTTGCATAGTCATGTATGGTAAATAGTACTAAAGTCACAGAGGACAGGAAGAAAGAATTAATCATGTATGGTAAATAGTACTAAAGTCACATAGGACAGGAAGAAAGAATTAATCATGTATGGTAAATAGTAATAAAGTCACATAGGACAGGAAGAAAGAATTAATCATGTATGGTAAATAGTAGAGGACAGGAAGAAAGAATTAATATGAAGAACTTACTGTACGTGTAGAGAAATTGAAGTTAAACTTTGTAACACTAGATCTAATCAACATGGAAAAACTGGATGTTGTCAATTATCAAAGTAAAGAAGATGTAGTTTTAAAATATTTGTAAAGAAAAAATAATTTCACAAATTGAAGTTTATACATTTAATTAGTACACCTGTCTTTACACTCCTTCAAGTATCAGAACACAAAGTTAATTAGTATACCTGTCTTTACATTCCTTCGTTTATCAGAATACAAAGTTAATTAGTATACATGTCTTTACATTCCTTCAAGTATCAGAACACAAAGTTAATTAGTATACCTGTCTTTACATTCCTTCGAGTATCAGAATACAAAGTTAATTAGTATACCTGTCTTTACATTCCTTCAAGTATCAGAATACAAAGTTAATTAGTATACCTGTCTTTACATTCCTTCAAGTATCAGAATACAAAGTTAATTAGCATACATGTATTTACATTCCCACG